TTAAAGAATGAAATGTTTCCCATCATAGTGGATTCTTAAGCACGCTCTCCACGTATGCGACGTGCTAGCTGGATGTCTTTTGGCATAATTGTTACACGTTTGGCATGGATAGCACACAGGTTGGTATCTTCAAAAAGGCCAACCAGATAGGCCTCACTCGCCTCCTGCAATAGGAGAGGGGGTGGGGTGGGGGGAGAAAACAAAAACAAAAAAAGGTGTTACTCCCAATAGGTAAAACATATCTATATAAATGTGAATTAAAACAATATTTTTTAAGTTTCTAAAAACCCGTACTTTAGAAGCTGTTGAGTACTTTACAAGATACTTGCACGTTTTCAAACCTGTAGGACCCAAACTGAGAAGTCAGTTTGTAAAACCAATAGCTCAAGCCTACAAATCTGTATCGCTTATACAAGGATCAAATTATAGGGCTGAAGCAACTGCCACCAAGTCCATTTCAACGTATAGTGACCCTATAGGACAGAGTGGAGCCGATCCCCGGAGTTTCCAAGGCTATAAACCTTTGCAGGAGCAGCTTTATCGCTCCCCACCCGTTAAGATCAAACTGCCTATCTTATTGTTACTAATCATACCCACATCACCCATCAAAAGCCTCTGGTACCCTAACTACATTACTGGGAGAGTTTATCTAAATACGAGTGAAAGAAATACAACTTAACCCCCAACATTCTTCCATGTACTCAATCCAATGGAATGATACCTCAATCCAATGGAATGTTGTCAGTCTTCTGAAGCAGAACCCCACTCACTTCAAAAGACCTATCTGAACCTTTGCCGCGCCTAGCTGACAATGATTTCCATCGCATGATCCTCGCCATCTAACTTTCTATTTGCGCCTGGTTTGTATCACAAGACTATACAATGAACATAATGACTAAATTGATAATAAACGCTGTAGAGTTTATGTTACACACCTGCTCACTCATTTTGCTTACCTAGTTCAGTCACCGGCCTTAAACAGTGCTTTCATGTACTAGGTGCTACGGAGTAGTTGGCCTTTTCTATAAAGTTCCATAAAGAACTCCCATTTTTAAAGGTTATCTAAAAAAACTTAAACTTTTAAGCCCTTTAAGGCACAAGGTTATGCAGATAGGAATAACCAAGTTTTTGTTGTTTTTTTTTAAACAAGAAATAACTGCAATAAAACTGACATTTCACTTTTAAAAGTATTAACACATCAGCTATTGATGTTGTTTCCTTATTTAATTTTATGGAATATATTTTTTCCTTATTTCATACCTTCATCCTTAGCTGTTTACTTCAGAAGAACAAAAAGACCCTAAATCAGCTGCTATGTAGTGTTATCACCCTACAGGACAGTATAGAACAGCCCCCAGTGTTTTCAATATTGTAAAACCCCCCCCCAGTTTTGCTTATTTATATTTTTATTAATTATATTTATTGGGGGGGCTCTTAGAAATCTTTTAAAAATCCATCATTTAATTATATCAAGCACACTTGTACATATGTTCCCACCCACATTTCCAAACCAATAATATAATTTTTACAAGAACAGATTGCCCATTTTCCTCTTACCAAATAGCTGATTATTTAAACTGCCAACTTTTTGATCAGCCTGCAGCACAAAGGCTACTTTTACTCCTCCCCTATCAAAATTCACTCATCCAATTTTTATTGTCCTCATCTACTTTTCAGCAGCCTGTATTATCAAGAGCTAACTTGTATTTACCTCCCTTATAAGGTCTAACTCCTAGGCTTTGGTGGTATAATGGATGGGTTGGGCTGCTAAGTGCAAGGTAAGCAGTTTGAAACTACCAGCTACTTGGCCGGCGAAAAGACAAAACTTTCTACTCCAGTCTCAGAAACCACAAGGGGAGGTCTACCCTGTCCTACAGAGTTGCTAGGATTTGGAATTGACTGGATGACAAGAGTTTTAAGAAGGCCTAGCTCAAGACTTTGGGAAACTCCGCACTATGAATTGCTATAGAGCAGGCAGTCACGTTCTAGAGACCATGTGGAGTGGGATGATCTGTCAGCGTGGCATGTGGCAGCTGGAGCTTTCAATGCTCTCTCAGAACTCAGGAGCCAGTTTCCGGGGTTGTGTCTGGTACGCTCTGGGAGAAGACTTAACACCCACCGGGGTTTTCACCATGATCCAGATAGTTCTAATTTCATTACCAATGTTGCAAAGTCACTTAAAAATTAAAGCTGTAACGGGAATTTAAAGCCTGTCATATTAATTTACTATCCAATGAGCATAATTCCAAGGTAACAACAAAAGGAAAATACAATTGGAAGAAAATGTGACTCGCCTACCATTTCAAAACACCAAAACCCATTAAAAAAAAAAAGTATACTTTAGCTCAGACATTAAAGGCAAAAGCCAAATTCTAAGTTTGTCAATTCTTGGTTAACATGGAAACTGAAAACTAGCGTCTGCTTTACCATATTTCCATAAGAAAATCTTCCATTTAATAGTTTTAACAACCAGTATTTTTATAAAATTAAGGGGAGAGGGAGCAAAAGCCTGCAACACAAAAAACCCTTTCTAATTAAGGTTCAGCGCTATTAACTGCACAAGGGACCACTCTGCACAAACCAATGCAACCATACCTCATGCCAATTACAAGTGTCTGCCTACCTCAGTAACAGCAACAGTGGACGTTTGTTTCACTCAATTATTAAAAAAACAATATCCTCTACCCAGGTTGCTTAGTAATCCTAATTTATAAGACTACTATATTAATGACACTGAGATCTTTGGTTATTTCTAGTTTAAAAATGCTCTAATGCTATGCTCTTTAAACATAGTCCTGATAACTATTAACTAGAAAGGACATAAGAAAAATTAGCTGCTTTGCATCAATGATTGGGAATCTTTGTAGTAGTATTTGTGTTTCAAGTTAATAATTTTACCATATAAATGAGACTATCAGATAATCAGCTATTAAGGCAGAAAATTTTTGTTGAAATTTCACCTCACTGAGAATTTAATGGATGCTTATTCTTGGAATTCACCAATCGAATGAAGTTTAGTCTAACCATAGAAACAGATTGGCCAATTACACTTCAGAGCAGAATCCACCTATCAAATCAAATCTCTCACACATAAAAGCCAGGCACAGCAACTGCAGCCCTAACAACCCAATGGAATACATGCAGATAGATTTTGGATCCCCCCACCCCCCCACCCTAGAGAGATTATGATTCAGTTCTGTAATGCCTAGCAACCTGCATTTCTAATTATCCCAACCCCTCGTTCCCATCTCTTGGATGCAGGAGATGGTTTTGTAGAGACTGGGGGGAAAAAGGCAGAGAGGGAGGGGAAAAATGAGGAGCTGAAGCCAGGGACTTAAGTGGAGAGCAAATGTTTTGAGAATGATGAGGGCAATGAATGTACAAATGTGCTTTACACAATTTGTGTATGGATTGTGATAAGAGTTGTATGAGCCCCTAATAAAATGATTAAATAAATATATTTACATGAGAAAAAAAAAAGTTAAAAATATACAAAGCAGGCCACTGTTATATAGGTAACTGATGTTATAATTACACCCAAATGCAACTTACGTATGAGTACTTCAAGTTCTAATCTTGGCAAAATCACAAAGGTTTCAAATACATAACCACCTCTAGATTAATAATCCTCTTTAGCAACCTATAAGTCTCTGAATCCCTGCCAGGCTACATGCTCAGAATTACCTTGAAGCACAAATTCTAGGATCAATCCAACCCTAACTACTGGCTATTCTTTCATTTCACTGAATTCTTTAAATGTTGCCTCCTCCCATTCTCTTCATTTTGCCTCTTCAATGTCCAGGAACTCATTCCAATATACATTTTTTACATAGGTCATTGCTGCTTAATTACAATACAGACCAGTCCCCTATCTTCTTAGTGTCCTATAATACACCATAAACCAAACCGTGTGCAAACTTTAAAATGGTACAATGGGACATGCACTAGGGTTTGGAGCCAACGATGGCTCCACATTATGATTTTGCCATATTCTATGTATATGAAATGGAGAAATTTAATCTTTCTGAAATAATAGTGGAATACAGATCACCTACTTTATAACCCAGTGATGACTAAATTATATCAACAAAAGCAATGGTAGGTATTATTCCTGGCATGAGGTGGGAACATACACGCTCAGAGTCCTCTCATCCGCCATCTTACCTGCAAAGCACCAATAGCTGCACTCTGGAAGCGCAGATCTGTTTTGAAGTCCTGAGCAATTTCTCTCACCAGACGCTGGAAGGGGAGTTTGCGAATCAGCAGTTCAGTGGACTTCTGATAGCGTCTGATTTCACGAAGTGCCACAGTACCAGGCCTTAAAAAGAAAAAGAGCAGCCAACTTGAAAGAGATGCAGTAATTTTCCCAAAACAATGCATCCAACTAGTCTTCAGCTTCGGTATCAAATTTCACTGTGCAATTTATGACCTCAACATTCAAGCCTAACAAAGAGTAACTATAACTTTAAAACAAAAAGTATGAAATGAAAAGTAGGTTCCCGCTAGGGAATGTAACCAAGTACATTAATTTCCTTTAACTTTTAACCTGTACATACATAACTAGCTTCTGCTAGAATTACGACCTTGGAAGCTATTAGTTATGAGTCATTAATAAAGTCATTTAGTGAAAATTCTCTTCAACTTGGTTCCACTCTCTTTCCATTCTTTCAAAGGTGCCACCAACAGAATCCAATGAGATTTTAAAATATGGATTTGAGCTGATTCTCAAAAAACCTGTGACTACTCTACTGCCTATTCCTCATTAATGACCAAATTTGAATACTCTTAATTGTCAGTGTTTCCCGCCCAACCCAGTGGAAAAGTTTATTACCGATTGTTGGCAAGAAATTTGCCTCTCAATTCAGACTGACTTCTTTTAACACAAGACTTGTTCAAGCTTAACCAAAACATCACTCACAGGCAGGGTACCAAAGTCTGAGCAACTTCTGCCCTCTAATGGTAGATGTCCTTAACAACACTGCTCAGATAGCCATAAACCAAATAAGCTAATACAAGGAGGAAATAAGCCAATTAAAAGTACACAAGATCGAGGGCCTACTCTTACTTAAAAAAGAAAGACCCAACCCCCTTGTTGTCAAATTATTTTACCTAAGGCAAGGAAGGTCTCAAAAATGCATTTTAAAAAGACTATGCTGTTTAAAAATGTTACTGACTTTGTAGCTAAATGTTAATCACCCCATTAACATTATTATCAATGATTCCTTAGGCCAATCAGTCAGAAATTGGCTTCAAAATTAAGCACGTTCCCAACAAAACCTGAAGCTAATTCTTTACATAATATATACATTCTCCACCACAAGGAATAGAACCAGTTTCACTAAAGCAAAAAGTTTTCTTTTTATCCACCTTTCAGTTGGATTCTTAAGGGGGGCACAGTCGTCCCAATCCCTATTCCCTCCCTCCCGGCGCCCCATACCTGTAACGATGAGGCTTCTTCACCCCTCCAGTAGAGGGCGCACTCTTGCGAGCGGCTTTTGTAGCCAGCTGCTTCCTGGGTGCTTTACCACCGGTTGACTTGCGGGCAGTCTGCTTGGTACGAGCCATGGTAGCGACTCCGCCTCACTTACCTACCAGCATTCAAAAAAAAAAAAAAAATCACGACATGCAGCTAGCCCACTAAGTTTTTCTACCCCTCCCTCAATATGGAAATTACGTTATTAAAAAAAAAGCCCGTATTATTATGTAATTTGAAAGGGCGCCGATTATACACCCCCCATCCAAATATCAATGCTTCAAACAGCACCGAGAGACAAATCATCTGCCAGGCACCGCTCCAAATACCAATCCTGATTAACAAGCACGAAAGCAAAGAGCCCGTGCCAGCTTGACGACTATTCCTTTAATTCGTCACAAAACCAGGACGACCTGTAAACACCGGATTCACCGACAAGTCAAAAAGGAACGGAGGCGCCACCACGGGAAAAAGGGCGACTCAAATTACAGCAAAAAGGATTCCAGCCCCCGCCCCCCGCCGCGTCTGGCAGTTGACGGATTGCTGTAAATATCTGGAAACATTCACGGTTTGCATCTTTACAGTTGCGCTGACCAACAAGGGGGCTGTCGGAAAGCAAGAGGGGCCACCAGCCGCCGCCGGCGAGCGTTCCACAAAGCACCACCTTCCGCCCAGTCCGGACGATCTCGCAATGGAGGAGGGCAAACAAGTGCTCTCTCTAATTAACGCCGAGCCCGGCCGCCCGGCCACCCCGAGCGCCGCCTAAACTTTTGGTTTCGCCTCGCCGGGGCCCTCGACCCGGGTCCCCCCGGCCCGCCCCGCGCCGGCGTCTCGCGCGGGCAAACTCGGCCCGCCTCGCAGAACAAAATGGAAACACTCGCCAAACGCATCCGACTCCTTCCAGAGACAAAACCCCGAGCCGCTCCAAATCGCCCCGATCCCTTGCCACGTGCCGCCCTCCAAAATGCAAAAGTTGGGTTTTTTTTGCGCTTCAAATGCATCAAGTTTCCGCTTCTCCAAAAATTGGGGCGCGGGGGGGGGATCCCCTCGCTTAAAATTTTTCTCCCCGTTTGAAATGGGGAAGGGAGAGATGGGGGAAGAAAATGTGACCGGTGACCAGAGAGGAGAGACAAGATGGTGAAGCTTAGCAACAACTGTAGGGAAGCAGCAAAAAGCGAGTTCCCCCCGGGTGGGAAGCGGCGGCGATTTCCCCCCTTTTCCAGCCCGAAAACTGGGGGCCGAGACTCGGGGGTGGTAGTTAAGAAGTCCGCGCAGGTCGTGGTGAAGGTTTGGGGTCCCGGGAAGGGGCGGCGAGTGGGATTTCACCGAAGAAAGAGGTGCCAGGGGCGCGGGGAGGAGGGAGGGCGCCGCGGCGGTTGCTGTTGGGCTGAGGCGGCGAAAGACGGGAGCTGCCGCCGCCTGAGGGGAGAGGGAAGCCCGCGCTTCATCTCCATTTCTGGGCCAAAAAGTTTGTGGGCTAAGCCGGAGGGGCTTAGGGTACCCTTCCCACGCCGCCAAGGCTCGGCGTGGGGCTGACGGCAAGCGGGGTTCGGCTCCGGGGAGGCGGGCAGACGGGCAAACTTACCCCCCTTCTCCTTCAGCTGGAGCTCGGCAAGCGAGAGGCGGCGCTGGCGTTGGAGAGCAACA